GATCAACACTCCCCCCCAACTTTGTGTAATTTGCAAACTTAACAGAGCAAGTATTTCACACTTCAATATTATCTACATAAGGTTGTGAATTTTCATCACCCTCATAGCTCTGTAATCATTTTCCTGTGTAGACACTATTAGTTTGAAAGAGGAAGTGCAATAAACCTACAAAGAATTTGCAAGCAAACTATAGTAATAAAGACTTCAGTCCATTTTCAGTATGCACACAGGAGTCACAGAAGAGTAAACACTCCTGTGCAGTCAGTGAAAGAGTGAATTTACAACAGCTTGTGTTTATGTATTATTATAGACATAAACATTGGATGGCTGAAGTCACCATCCTAAAGTGAGCACAGATCTAGACAGTGAGATGTACACACACATGCAAATACAATGTCAAATGAAGACTTGTTTGTCTCTGAACAGCAATGCTAGAGGAACAAAAATGGAATTGAGTAATTTAAATACACGTGAACTTAAAAAAGTTCAAGTTTAGTAAAATAATTAAGCAACAGTGTTTTCAGAAATTATATGAAAATATGAAACTACAAAGCTATTAGTGAAAAACACCACATTGAAATCAGGACAGGATGTCAAGTCTTTACAAATAACATTTCATGAAACTAAATTAAACTGGTTCCTACTACACCAGAACAGCAAATGCCACTGACTTACAAGAAATTCAGAAAAAAAATGCATATATGGAACAAAAGGGCTTACTTGCCCTGACACCTTTAAAAACACAACGAGAAATATCTAGCTGCAGTTGTTTCTGGTTAGATCACAACAATCAACTCTCAGGATAGATATGTGTTGCACAGCTAACTGTGCTGATTAGAAGTAACAATTTATCCATCATGTAACAAACCAATTTCTTTCAGACAAAATTAACAAAAACCCAACAGAACAGACTAACAGGAAAAGGCCAAACATTTAATCAAGACTGTTAATCAAATAGGTAATTTCAGCTGCCTGAGGAAACTCACATTTTCCTGAGAAAGATTGCTGGTTGCTCTAAGGCCCTCATCATGGATATGGTTTTGTAGTTCCTGAATCATATGAGGTAAACCACTTGACACAGCACGAAGGAGAGTATACATATTTGCCATGTCTGTAACAGAGATACATTTTTATAGAATATGCTTAGAAACACTAAAAATTAACACTTAATATAGTATCATAATTTCACACAGAACTTTTGAAAGACTGAAACAAGACCAACTGTTTTGAAAAAAAATAATTAACATACACTGGATCACTGACAAGAGAAAAAAGGAAAGAGTAGGGTGCTGAGTCCTGCCACTGTGACTACCTCAATCTTCCAATACTGCTTCTTTAGAAGAGACTCCAAGCAGAGAGATGGACTAGTATGGAGAAGCACTGTGCCAGTTTATTTTAATCCTTGGCCTCCCTAAATGTTCCATAGCAGCAGCTAACTAAAATCTGCTTAGATATCTTCTTGTCTTTTTGTTTGCCTCCAGTGGTGACTTGAAATTTTTCTCAGGTTAGAAAAGCTACAAATAAGCAACTGCTATTTTCAGGAATTGTTTGAGTTGTTTTAAAAAAAGGATCCGAGCTCTGATCAATCTTGCAAAATTCCCTGGAAGTTGAACACTATTGTTAATACAATTTGAGTGTGAAAAATAATTTGTTTCACATAACAGATACCATCTTCCATGTGAGAATAAGCATTCTTTCAGGGGTAAGGGGCATGTAGTCATCAGGAACCATATGGGTTTTTTTAGTCAGGCAGGGAATAAAACTACAAGAACATCTCCTTCTGCAAAAAGGATTTGGGAGAGAGGTCACAAAAGATTCAGGACAATAAAAAGTGGCTATGAAAAGAAGCCAAAATATTTTATAATCCTGACCTGTCAAATGATGATGAAGAAATCTGTAAAGACAGAGCCATTGGTTTACAAATGAAAACACAAGCATAAAATGTGATCAGTTCTACAGGACAGTGGACTTCAGTGTGTTTTTAAGCTGACTAAGACAAGGAAAGAGAAAGAGCATTAGCTGAAAGAAGGGTTGTTAACAGTAAAAAGGTTTTGACTATATATTTGGAAGAATGAAAATGAATTAACATGGTAAAAGAAAAACATCATTCAGGGTTCAATTGGGATTTACAGGTAAGTAACATTAGTTGAAAATACTTAAGTGCACAGGTGGTCACTGAAAAACGATAGGAAATTGCAATGCTAAACGAATAAACCAAAAACCATTTCATGCTTTTTTCTGTGACTGAGACTTACCACTTCTTTTCTCTTGTCTGATAATATTGTGACATTCTGCATGTAGAAACTGCAAGTGATCAGCTACTGTCCTCTGTTGGCATTCATGAATCACTTTGCCATAAGAGCTGGGATGTAAGTACTTCCGACATCGCATTTCTTCATCTTTTAATCTACCTAAAACCTGCAGACCAGTGTATAAACTGAGAGATGAAGAAACACTAACAACTGATACAGAAACAGAACATACTACAGTTTAACTATGTAGAATGAGACACAAGAATAAGTAATAAAGTTGTAAAAGAACTTGTACAGGACGCTGAAAAATTAGATTTGCTCTTCTGAATCAAGCTGTTGCTGAATTAGTATCATCTACACTGAGTACTAACTAGGCTCAGTCACTACTAAACATCTAACAGCACTCAGTAGTTCTCAAAATTTATTTTTCTCTTCAACTTTATGACCAGTCTTCCCCAGCTTCTCTTACCATACTTATTCCTTCTGAGAAGGTTTTAGCACAATACCTAATTATAAGAGACTATAAGAACCACTTTACTGTTCTAAATTCATCTGCTTGTATGTAAACATCTGCTCAGTAGGCACACGAGCACATCTGAGCTATAAATAAAAACTCTTTCCATAATTCAGTGTCATAGGCATTATCATAAGTCATATGAATACTGACATAAAAGCACTTACACCCTGGGAATACGAGGGGAGTCTAGGGAGAGTAGTGCAGCTGCAGACTGCTAATGACAGGCAAAATTCATCAGTGTTGCTTTTGGTTTAGTTGAAGTCTGAGCTAGTCCCTGAATTTCACGACAGGTGTGCAACCATAAGGTTATGCTCCTTATGCTTAAAAGCAATTTCACAACCTTCTCCTCAACTCTTCTGTCTTGGTAGTGTGGACAGTATAATACCAAGGACTGACTTCTAGTCTTGTATTAATCTTTGCTTTCTCAAGCAAGATTTAAGAATTAAAAGTAATTTAACCACATTTGGACTTCATACACCACAAAACAAACCAAAATCCACCTCAGAGTATGTAATGTTTTACAATGCTCCACAATAACTCTATCATAGTCTTCTCTAACCACTATAATGCTAAAACTTTCATCTTATGCTGCTACAAATTGAAAGAAAACAAGGATGTGAGGAAGCAATACTGGTCAACCTGACATGTATTTTTTGTCTTTTTTTTTTTTCTTTACTTTTCATACCTTTACCATTTACTACAAAACATTTTGATGCTGACAGTCCATCTATAGCAAGGTTTATAGTTTATGCTCAGGTTAACCATGTCACCAGAAAGCATTGTTTAAATTGCATGAAACCATAACAAAGAACAACTATGAGAACTGTCAAGGAAAACATGTATCATTATAATGTTAGATTTTAGTTATTGTATTTTACCAAAGAATCTCTTACCTTCTCCATGTACTGTGAACAATTTGACTCTTGCAATAAATTTGAAGCTTCTTGTTTATAATACTCCCCTGTTTCATTCAGAAAAGGACACTCAAAAATTTCCTGATAAAACTAGAAGGGAGAATATTTTTAAAGGACAAATCATGCATACACTAGATTCATTCAAAACAAAAAACATAGAATCAGAAACGTGTATCTACCTTTAGGGGGAATTTTTTCTTACACTGTTCAACATGAACAAAGGAGTTAATAACCCCATGGATTACTTTCTGGTTTGGGTCTTCTCCACAGCGATCACTGAAATAGGCAAAGCAAACATTTATGAGAACACAGGTATCTAGTGCAACTCATCTGAGAGCTGTATGAAATAAAATGGGATGCAAACATTTTCCAGTAAACTCCTCTGCTTAAATTGGCAAAATTGAAAAAGATTAATTGTAAAATAAAAAATGCACTCTTCTTGCTTTTGTACACATTAAAATTGTTGAGATAGCAATTCATAAACTATTAAAAAGCATTTACAGGTCATGAAATTTCCAAGTGTTTGCTAAGGATATAAGTTTTCCAAATTACATACTCTAAGCAAGCAGTTTAAAAGTTGCAGTAAGTTCTGACTTGTATCTGTAGCCTTTGTTACAGACTACCTTCACACTCATGCCCCTGCCAAAAAATCCATCCTCTTTACCAGCATCACAGCAAGAAGCATGCTGTTTTCTTTGCTGAATATCTACCATTCAACATGTAGATTTTTAAGTTGAACAAATAACACAGTTGGTGCATGTCACAATATTTAATCAGACATGGCAAAGACTTCCAGCCAAGTGCTTAGGTTGAAATGAGCAAGCTGAAGTGAAGAAAATGTCATCTTTAGTTCCATTCAGTTGAAAAAAAAGTCATTAAAGCATTTTGCATGCTAAAAACATTAGTGTTCAGTCCTTTGCAAAGACTGGAAATAACAGACCCACACTCAGAGCAGCAGAGACTTCCTCTTAAGAGAAGAGCAATTCTAAAAGAAGACAACTTTTCATACGCACTTTACAGCAAAGTAAAAAAATATTTCCTAACTCCTAAGGCATTAAATAAGACTAAACTATGATTTACAGAAGTATATTCACACTTAAGTATCAGCAGTTGTAATTTCAAAGGTTTTTCTTTTTTAAATACATATGTATGCATATATATAGAGTAAAACTTCTACTTTACCTAGACTACACTGAAAAGACAAAATGAGTTCTCTGTTAGAAATGTATGTTGGTGTAGGAGAGCCATTCACATGACTGATTTGAAAAAAAAAAGAGGTAAAGCAAACAAAAATACTTCAAACCCAAACATTACTGTATACACATCTAACTTGGAGTGGAAAGGAGAAGTAATTTTGCTGATGTCATTCATTATGGTTTGCAATCAATAAAAACTCCAGAGGATGCCCATGAGCTGGGGAGCTTTACCAGGACACACACCAGCAGTCATTATAGTATGCACACCAGACCACCCTCGTATGTTCACACAAGTATTGCTTTCAAACACTACTGTTGCCTAAGATCTGAAAACTAGAGCTCATGAAGGATGGCAAGAACTAGCTCTCTAACACAATATAAGCAGTGACTGTATGGTTTATGCAGCTCGGTTGCCTGTCACAAATAATGAGTAAATATTCCAGCAGGGATGGTCTGACTTTTTCACCCAGGGAACAGGAAGATTTCCTCTGGTTGTGGCAGCTGAACCAATGGAATAAATCTGGGTTTGGGTACATGGAATCACGTTCTGCATCCTTACCAACATCCCTCTATGGGCTCTGGCTTACAAAGGCAGAGGCAGCAGCACAGAATCATAGTAGAGAAGAAGCAAAACACTTGGCCAGCACCTGGATCCAGCTCCACCCTGGAGGAGCTCAGAAGCATGGAAAGCTGCAGGATGCATGCAGCCTATAAACACAGCACTATGGCATTACTGTAATACCAGCTCAAGTCCCAGCTCCTCTCTGCTCAGTTCACAGGTCACTTCAGACCTCAGCCAGAGCAGATTTGAAGGAGAGGGGGGCAGCAATGGTCAGACCCAGCAGATTTGAAGGACACTGTATCATTAGGAAAAAGATGTAGAAGTACAGGAGATGTGCTCCATGGAAGAACTGGAAGGGAGGTAATAGGCTTTGGAAGCAGAGGTCAGATGGTACAAAGGCAATAGACAAAAAGGAACGTAGCATGGAACAAGCCTTGCCTGCTCTGGCAACAGCTTCAGGTTTTTATTTGCACCAATGGCACTCTGCTCCCAGGAATCTGTAATGCAAATTACTAGTTTCAACAAAATTTGACAGAAGTTCCAAGGATGAGTTTCATGAAAGTTGTAGGAGTAAGAGCAACTGCCAGACTAAAAAGAAATTGGTGACCCCACCAAGGTGGAATTTATCAAATGCATATTTTCCTTCTTGGCAGTAGTCAGGAAGCAGTAGGGATGCATACAGCTGCAGGGCAGTGGCCTCAGAATGTGGAGCAGGGATATCTCTTGGGAGGGGATAAGGGAGTGATGATGTTTGATGAGGAATCTGGACAAAAAGATAAAGCACTAGAAACACAAGTTCTGCTAATTTAGGTAATGACAAGGTTTTTTTAAAAGGAGAAAGCTACAAAACACAAGCTCAAGGAAGTTGTGCTGGCTCCTATAATAACTCCATCTTGTTCCTGCCTTAAGTCTGAAGCTAACAGTGTGAGTTCAACATGTATTGTAGAGTATACTACTGCAGCCCCAGAGAACATTTTTCAAATCTAAGGTACAATAATAAATACTGGATTCATTTAGTGCTCTGCTGGGTCCAACCAAAGGTCTTTCAAAGCAAATTAACTATAGAATTCACTGCAAACTAGAAGAGCCTGTTCTGAACATTTTAGAAACAACTTCTGATAGCTTTAATTTTAAACAAATGGTATAAATAATGTATCAACTCAGACAGGAATAGGTTTGGTTAGTTAGAAAGTGTTAGTTATCTTTAGTAGAGAAGTCTCTCCTGGTTAGTCTGTACTTATCACACTGTCATTTGAGATAGCACCTGAATAATTTCCAAATTATTTCTGTTTAAGAATTTCATAGATGAATTTTCTCACAATTCAAGATCTTGTCGGCTTCCTGTTGTGTTGGAACAAAAATGCGCAAGTTGATATTCAGCTTGCCTTGAAGGAGGAGTGCTTGGGCTAGAGGGAGGGGGGAGAAAGTGTGTTATATTCAGAACTCTGAATTATTAAGGAATGCAGTCAGACAAGACAGGCTAAAGTGATTTAAGAATTCTCTGCTGTTCAAGGGGGCTAATCCTGCTCCCTTTTGCTCAGTCCCAGGTGAGTCACAGGCCTCTGAACCTCTCTTGCATTGCTTTGGCACTCACCTAATTCTTTGCTGAAACGACTCAGTGTGCCAATATGGAGAAGCAATAGCCAAGATGATTTTCTGTCATATTAGCAGTTGAGCTGGTTCACTAAGTGACCAGATGAGCACCAAATTCAGCACATGAAAGGTAGTAAAGCACAGCCTGCTCCTTTTTGGCATCAGTAAACTCTTAGATCAGTTTAGCCAACTTGTTCAGCTGAACCACGTCACTACTTGCATTTCTTTATTTTCATGTACCAAACCATTTTATTGCTAATTTTGATGTATCCTGTATTACACAAGCTTATAGCTTCTAAAAAGTTGAGCTGCTCAAGGTTTTAGTCAGAAATATTTTTAAAATTCCAGTTGAATACATTGATAAAGTAACACCTGAAAGAAAAAAAAATGTGGCTCTGCTACCCTAGCTTTTCCAGAACAGTAATAAGCATATTTTGATATGCAACCAGCTGACTACAGTGTTGGTTATCAACTCCACACATCATTGTATGCAATGGAAAAATCTTCTGGCTAGAAGTTCAACTGTCTCATCTACATGAATTTTACTTTTTTTTTAAAAAAAACATTGTCACAAATTGAACCCTGCACACACAGGCACTATTATGAAGGTATATAATAGAAGAGTTTCTAAGCATATATGTGTATTAGTAATTTTATTAAAGCTTTTAGGTAATATTATTCTCATGCATATTCTTGCACCTTTGACAGACAAATTATAGATACTCATTTTCTCAAAAACCTTGTTTCATTCCTGAATTGCTGAACTCAATGCTAAAAGACATTTAATAGTCATTTGCAGCAGTGTCTTTAAAATTGCTTCTCAAAAATTATTGACCACCGAAATTGCAGCAAAGAACAGCAACAAGTCAATAGTTCCATGCAAAGGGCACACTCAGAACTCCCAGAGCAAGCCCTACATTTCATGATAGCAGGAAAAACAGCTACAAGAAGTAGTTTTCTCTTACATAATTCATTAAATGATATGCAGATCATAAAGTGGCTAGAAGAAGCTTATATGAACTGTTAGATGTCTATTTGGAGAAACAGAATTTAATTCACTTCTTTGAGATCATACAAAAGAATCCTTAATAAAGTAGGGGGGGGAAAATACAGATCCAGCCATTAGAGACAATGACTCAAGTATTATTTAAAACTTTCCAAATAGTTTATTAACAAAAAAATGTCAACTTGTTACAGTCTCAAGATCTAATGCCCCCCAAAGCCAGTGACAGTCTTGACCTAAGCACCCTTGTGAGGTCTGCAGTCAGCCTCGAGGTAAATACATACCATTACTTTTGAAGGCATCCTATGGCTCTTGAGAAAGGTTTTTACACACATTTTCACTCCCACCCACCAGTGAAATATACACATTGACTAAAACAAGTCTTCAACATCACTGTTCTTGATGTAACAAAGGAGAATTTTCTTCACATTGAATTAGGGAATCTTCATTTAGTAAAAATAAATTGTTAGACTACAACACCTGGATAAAGCAGTATTAGCAATGGTTACAAAAGAACCATGATGCAACAATCAAAAGCAAATAAATACTTCCTGGCTTCAGAAAGGCCATCCAAGAGTGACATCATATCAGTTACTTAATTGTAAAAAATTATTTCAGGAAGGAAAAATGAAAATTAAATACTAAAATTGGGAGGGAGGTTAATATCTTATAAATACAGTTTTTTTCTGACCAAGTGCATGTCCAAGGAACATCAATGAGACAAATTACCTCACTCTTAGTTTATCTACCCTAGCCTAGTTACCTGAGTAATCACTTTAAAAAACCCCCAGTCATTAGGCAACTCCAGAGCTATCCTAAAGAGTAGTAAAAGTATAGAAAGTGATGGAACTTAAAACTAAACACAAGGTCTGTAGCATATCTCAGAATTTCTGTTTATTCATAAATCCTTTAGGAGTTAAATTAAGGTTTTCATCAAAACTTTAAAAGTCCCAAGCCCTGTAACTACCAGGGTCTTTACTTAGCAGTAAAAAAACCCAAAACCTGTTCAGATATAAAATAGTAAATTTCCTTCAAAAGTGCAAAAAAATAATTACTTCCATTTCACTCAAGTAAAGTGCCAAGAATGTTAAGTGAAAGCACTCATCTGAACAACAGAAACCCAGAGGTTTAGTCTTCCTGGCAGATAAGCAAGAATTGTTCTGGGTCCCATGCAAACCAACATAGCTTCTACAGCTTAGGTAAATCTTTGCCCAAGTCCTGGTCCTTAAGTTCACAGACCTCACAGAAGCCATAAGCAGTCAGCATCAGGTGGTGAAAAAGGCAAAAGGCACCCTATAGTACCTGAAGAATTATTCTAACTCCTCCCAAATCCCACTAAGAAAGGCTGCTGAAACAGAAAAGATTACTACCCTGAGGTTACAGGGAATTAATTGTTTTCTTTTTAGAGCCTTTTTCTACACATGCAAACCACGAATACCTAGGTACAATGAGAAAAGCTGACAGACCACCGTCATCAGGTAAGCAGTTACCTTAAAAAACCCCAACAAGCATATTCTGTCAAAGTCCACAGACTTTACAAAGTGCAGCACCCCCTTCCCCTGACCCCCCACCTCCACTGTGTTAAAGCAAAAAGCAATCAAGCACTCACTTTTTTATTTCTCGGAGGAGCATCCGAATGAGGATGGCCTGCAGTGGCTCAATCATTAATTTTCTCCACATATCAAGAGCTAGCTGTCAGGACACAACACAAGTTGACATCAATAAAAGGTACAACCACACATAAAAAAAAGGCAGAACAATACCAAAGATGACACATTCAAGATTTTAAAAATTGAATTGTTAGGTATCTTCTTTCTTCTTTTTCCACTCTTTTGTTCCCCCTGCCCTTGTCTCAATATATTAATACATTATTTTTGAGTTTTTCTTCTAGAACATCTTGCTGCATTTCGATGAAGATCACACAGATCTGTACATCAGCAGGGTCAGCACAGAATTTCTAGTCAGGCAGTGTCTAAATTCATGTATCTCAGCCTGAATTCTTCCTACACATCCAATAAAACTCATCCATTCCTTGGTTCCACTCCATCAAGTATTCTCAAATGCACATAAGGACCCTAAGCAAGTTGGTTACAAGGTCAGATTTTGACTGTGCATACAAACAAAACATCTCCACAGTAATAGGTAACATGCCTTTCTACCTGTAGTGTTCAGATGTGCACAAACATTGGTGTTTCTAACGATTACAAAATAAGCCTCAGCTGAAAAAAGGGAATGTCTCATGCCCAATTTGTCAAAGATACAGAAACCTTATTAACCAACACACAGAGAGCATCTCCAAACTAAGATGCACACAGCTTAAGCAAAGTCCCAGCAAGCTAATTTGACTTGAAATGGAAATCAAATCACCTTCATATTAGGGATAGGTGACTCTATTCCTAACGTACCATTAGAGGAACCAGTCAAAGGACTCAAGTGTCTCAGATTCTTGTGGGTGACTTAATTGCTCCCAAAATATACCATTTTTAAAACCACAACTGCAATCATTCAAATGAGCTTTAACACATAGTCAACACCATATTTAAAGCCCAAAGGGGATAATGTGGTCCCTATATCCAGGGAATAACCACACATATGAGGCCTCTAAAATCAGTGAGGACAGAGGGAATATTGCTGCTAAGAAAGCTTTGACACAACTAACTGGTTGTTAGCTTTAAAAATTAAAATATTGATGAGGTATGTCTTAATTCAAAGCAGGCACCTAGCTATCAACTAAGCATCCAACCTGATCCATTCTGTGAAATAAATCTTCCTTTTAAAGAGCAGACAAAAGAACTTGCTCTGTCACAGCAGCCATGCTGCAGTACAGGCAGGGTACAGAAGGTAAATCTGACCCAACTGCTTCATAAGCAGGGTAAAGAAGAGATAAAGGTTTGTTTATAAATCAAATGACATATAATGCTTTGAAATAAAGTTCGGAGAGATTTTCAGGGTCTCGCCTTCTGGAGAGTAGTAGTAGTAGAACAGTTAGAAGAAAACAATTTCCCTAAGACAACAGGAACTCATCCAGTAGAGAATGCTTAAATAAGCTAGTGCTGGAGAGAAAGAAGAGAAGGGGACCAAGAAAAGGAAAAGAACCTGATATATTTTGTGGCTATGAGGTCACACACCCTATTCTGCAATGTGGTCTCATCTCCCTTGAAGAGAGGGCTTGATCTTACTTCTCCAACTAGACTGGCATACCACGACATGGCAATTTTCTCCATTTCCCAGAACCTATTTCCAGGGGAAAAACACATCTTATCTACCTTCTAGAGCAGGGTTCCCATAAAGCCATGGAAAACTCAGGAGTCTGAAGCTGGTGATAGGAGCTCAATTCAGAAAAGCAGTATCATTCACCATGTCTTCATAACATACAGAGGGGGGAAAAAAAAAGTCATCTCCTGCAAGCACTGACAGACTATTTTCATCATCCGATCTCATCCTGTATGTTTCCCAATGCAACAATTACTGCATGTCTGGAACACTAATGGGGATGATGAACTGTTTGAAGCCATGCCCACACACCTCACACACGCACCTCCGGCCTCGTGTGTACCTCCTGTTACACACCTCAGGAGAAGTAAGCAAGCACATACTTGTTTCAGATTACTGAAAGCATCTCAAAGTTTCACACACACACAGGAGTGATGTTGAGACAAACTTCAGTACACAGAGTACAGTTCTGCTTCTAGAACTACTGAGCATTATTTCTCTAACTTCATGCTGGGAGACTGAAGAGAACTATATATAAAATAAGCATATTTGCTCTTGGGTAGATAAAGACCAGATCATCTCAGTCACCTAAAAAAAGGACAAACAATAATTCCTTACATTCTAAAGTGGTGAGCAAATGAAATACTTTGACTTTTGTCAAAGCCTCTTGTGTGATCCAAAGAATAACAGACAGAACACTATAGGAACCATAGCAAAAGAGAAAATGTGTTCAAAAACACAGACTTTATCAAGTTTGCAAGTGCCTTGCAGGTCAAGAAATGTGAGCTGGATCAATGAATTCATCAAAAACAGTGCTGTAATTTAATACATTAAGCTACGTGAGTGTACGACTCATCTCCATTATTTCTCAGGACAAAGAAGTGACTGCCATAAACCTGATCCTACACCAGTCATGAACAGAGATTAACTTCAGTGCCTCAAGATCTGAAATTTCCCTCCCACTACTACAAAGACATTACTTGATAAAGAGAAATGGAAGGAGTCTTGAGGAGTGAGACAATGAAAAACTCATCAGTAGAATTCCAGACATCATCATCTTAATATCTTCATCAAAAAACAAGAGGCTGCCAGCTACAGTTTAAGAATCTTGACCCTCCCCATAATCTGCCCAAATGATGAGCTAGGGATGTACCATCCTTGGCACAACTACTGGGAAGATTGAAGAAAAGTGTATGTCATTGTCCTTCCATCCCACTTGGGATTCCAAAAACATGAAGAAAATGGAATACTCAAAAAAACCCTGAATTATCAAGTCTGCTGTTTGTTCTTCTTTGGTAAACATATTCTAGGGCAGAAAGCTATGGATGAAAGCTGGCACTACCATCCTTTGGTTGATAACTTAGAATGAAGCAGCATTCTGAGGTATGAAACAGGCAGGGAATTCATTAATACATTAGCATCACCCAGTGCCATGAACAACCCCACACCTATTCCCACCCTCAAAGCAGCTGAGCTAACAGTCATTCACACAGAACTAAGGTCTACCTCGGATAACCATGGGAACACACTCTGCTAAATCTCAGCCTGGGGAAATAAAGAGTAACATTTAAGCCATTTTGAAGAGATCACAAACAGTGCAGCAATATACACTTCCAAGCTCTGGTAAGTCTTTAGTGATGTGGCTGATTAGCAAGCCTTGGATTAGCAAGCACAGATAGAGAAGAGAATTTCTCTTCCTGAAATGCCTTGACTTAGAGCATATCATGTTTCTGGTGTTCTTTTCAGCCCACCCCCAGTCTGTCAGAGAATTGGCAATTTCAGCTGGCAGTGCTGGTTCCTCGTCAGCTGGGTGTAGCTGGATCAGAAGCACAGAAGATCCTTCCTTGTGCATCACACTCTCCTTACTCTTAACTACAGACAGCAGAGATCTCCTACTTAAAACAAGGAACTCAAAGAGCTAGAACAGTAATCACTGACAGGTCAAGTTCTGACATTAAGGAAAAAAGAAGCATTTTCTCTAGCCTTCCAAACCAAAAGAGAAGAGGGATTCATTTCCATTACAGAGAAAAAGGTAAACGTAGAGAGGAATGGAAAAAATATCAGCATGCCACAACAGATAATGACAGAATAAAACAAATTCTCCAGCCATCAGTGCATGTACATAGAGACACAAAGCAAATGGATACATAATCACTCAAATGAAAAGTCTGTACTCAACAGTGTTCAGGATTGTGATTTTATTCTGATTCAGACTGAAAAGGTGTTTTCAAAAATCTTCTTAAAGACATACTGAAACTGTGTTTTGAAAAAGTTGAAAGAATTTTTTTTAAAAAAACAGTAAAATAGTCTTTTTGCTTCACTTTCTCATACTTTATGGCAAAAGCAGCCATGAAGTCACAAACAACACATACTCCACTTCTCCACTGTTGCAGTGCACAGGGTGAAGTCTCAGAATGTAGTTCTACTGCTGACAAATTTTTCATATGATAGGTATTTTTAAAATTACTCTCAGCCTCTCCAATTTACACTAGTAACTGTGACAACTCTGTGTTCTTGCCGCAAATGAAATTTTTTAAAGATAAGCACTCCCTACATGACACTGTTGTGCACAGAAAATCAACTTTTTAATTCAAAATCTGTTGCTACAATAGGATTTAAAAACAGCTTGCCTTAGAAAATAAGATGTATAGAAGACTAATATAAAAAAAAAAAGCTGTAACACTTTGCAATACCAAGAAATAGAAACCTGAAAGCAGTATTTCAAGGGTTTCCAAAGCCAAAAGTACTGCTTCAAAATGTTTTCTAGATAATAGTGTCACTTAATGATCCAAAGTTTGTTTGCAAAGTGGTTCTATTACGACATTTTAAACTGAAACTCCAGCAGTTTTCATATTTGCTTTTTTTCCCTGCCAGGGATCTCATTTTACAAAGGGTTCAGTGCTTACGTCTTCTACCATATTTAACTATTCTGACTCTGAGACACAAAAAAGTCAAAATTTAAAAGGACAAAGCTGAATTTGTAGCACTACCAAATACAGTTATATCCAATCCCACTTTCAGAGATACCTACCTCTCCAATTTCCATCAAAGGTTCATTCATATCCACCCCTCCATAACCATACTGAAGATCAGCTTCAGTCAATTTGTTCTTCTTAATAAACTGTGTATTGAGGTACCTACAGAAATAAAGATACTCTAATCAAAACAGGCAAAAGTTCTTTTTAAAAAATGTCTTTTACATTGCTAAATACAACCTTCTTTAACCAAAGCCATTGCTATTTGTAGGAATATTTTAAAATATAAATGACATCAACTTAAAAGACCTTGTATCATACTAAAACAGCAGTGTTAGTAATTGAGACATCAAACAAGATGTATCAGTGTCAGCATTTTCTTGGTGAGCAATACACTTGTGCAAGAATCCAACCTTGCGACATGCACTACCATATTACTCACACATGCCAAATAACTGCTACATTTTGAGCACTTAACCAGTATGAGAGTGACAACAGTTTATTTATTTATTTGCATGATAGAGAAACATTCCTGAGTATCAGATATTTCTAAGTTAGAAGTATTTTCTTCTACCTGCACTGTTTATTATTTCACGTTTCTCAACTGAAACACAGAAGTACTGTCAACCTTTGCAGACTAATCTTGAGTCAGTTATGATCCCTAACTAGCAAACAGCTGGATTACAAATTTTAAAGAGAAGAATTTGCAGAAATTATTTTAATTAACAGTTATAGAGAAAAAAATGCTATAAATGCTAATTTTTTCTTAGTATTCAGTATTTACTACTGTATGCATAGTTTTTATAAAAAACAGAAAATGGTTTCTGTGCAAGACCTGCTAAAATATCCCTCTTGATCCTCAATATTCCTATAAAACAAATATTAAAACATTTTAAAACTGAATCGTTCTCCTTCTCTTTCCCAGATAACTGGGAAAAAAAATTGAATGTATTTCATAACTACACTTTAATTTCTTATGCTAGTGCTTAAATGATGCAATTGAAAATGTTTTTTGATTTCTGATCTAACCAGCAGTCTGGAGAAGCTCAGTGTCAGACATGAAAAGTGTCAGATTACTGAACACTTTAAGAGATAAAGGCTTCAGAGGCTGCACCAGACTAGTGATGTCTGAAAACTTCGGGCAGGAAGGCAAAAGCCAAGAAATGAAATGGAGAATCACACTGTGGAAACCTGTGAACTTGAAAGAATTTAGGACACCACAGAATCCAAAGAAGGAACACTTGTGATAGTGCAGGGATGACAAACTGGAATACAGTGGCCTAACCTACTTTCAGACTCTCAGGGAGTACTTGCAAACCTCTCTGCTGCTATCAATAACCATCATAAATTGTAAATGCAGGCCTATGTAGAAGGCTGCAAGCCTGCCATTTCATATGGAACTCCTGTGTACACTCAGGACAGCTGGGACACAAGCCTGAAGCAGCAATGCTCCTTGAGAGTATTTATTCCCAGCCTCCACCACATGAACAAAGCCAACAGCTGCCAACCTGCTTTTTCGTGTTCAACTTGCTGAAAAGCAAAGCCATACACTCCCCTCACTCACATCCTTTCTCCTCCATCAGCAGATACAGGAGAACTTGCATTAGCATCAAGAACTAAAAATTACTGGACATTAATACACTAGGATTATTCCAAGTGTTTAAAAAACAAGACAAACGGGAACAAAGCAAAAGCTGCACTATGTATGTTTAGTTTTCAGAATTTTATTATAGGCAGATTTCAAACTTCACTTTAATTTCAATATCCTGGATAAGGAAATCATCCCATACCTTGAAAAAAAGCACACAGATGAGATTTTTTACAAAGTACTCATGAAAACAGTTATAGCACCAAGACACTGATAAGCCCTAATGTTCAGCATCTTTTTCATCTATTATTTTTATCATCAAAACTAACCAAAAAGTTTCTTTAATATCAAATGTTCCTTATTTCATCAGTTTTATCACCTTGGCTTAGTCAAGCACATGTAGGATTTTAGTTTTCAAACTGAATTCAATTTTGTTTTCTTAGCAAAACCAGTCACATGATTGGTCTCACATTTTATGAATTTTGCTCAAAAGTGTCTCACATTTTAGTAGTGTTTCAAATATTGCCTATCAGGGTAGAAATAGAGATGCAAGCCTACTTAAATTTTAAAGAAATCTAACTTAAAATAACACTCAGATTACTAGCTGTAAAGATCAACCAGTTTTCATTGCTGGAAGAATTAACAATTAAAACTGGGATACAACAGTCAACTAATTTTGAGAGCAGATGTGCAAGTAAGAAAAGAACTCAAACTGCTCTAGAAAAAACAGGTTATCTTCTTAGCCTTCAGAAGTTCTTTCCCCCAAAACATTCTCTCTAAAAACCAAAAGTGACATAACACTTAATGAAGTGTTTCCAATGCATCAGAGTTATTATGACTACTAATCATGCACTGAAATATTTCTTGTCTTCATGTGGAGACTTATAGTTCCTGTTAAAATGTACATCTTATTATTGAAGAGAAAAATCATCCTTCCACAAATTCATACCATTTAGGAACTTCTAAAAGACAGCACATGACAAATTTCTGAATTTCAACACAAAGAAAGAAGATTAAAATTTGAGGTGAAAACACTTCCAACAGAATATCTAATAAGTACATTTTCCGGACCAAAACACCACATGCAAAGCAGGAAGAATAAGAATGGGCAAACTGGTATGACATAAATAACTTCAGAGTTTAAGAACCTGGCTTCAGTGATATATGAGTAACACTCTCTCTATACACACACACTAATGTATATGTTGGCTTGTGTGCATAGTAACTGCCTGGAAAAAAATTCTCCAGCTTATTTAATAATAAAACAAAAAATCAGGTTCCACTGCTGGAGAAGTGTTTTAATTTGTTGGTTTATGACCAAAAGCACACAAGTGCTCAGGAAAACCATTATACAAAGCAGAATCAGTGAGATTCATACACAGTAAACAGGTGTATTTTTCCCTGTATCAACTCTCCAGTGAAGTCAGTGACACTGAAAGTCTGAAAGCCCAGGATGGATGCACCTGTTCTCAGTCTGCCAGCAGTAAATCTACAAGATCACACATACATCCCCTAACTTAAAAGATCCTGAAATGTTTTACAAATCCTCATGTCATACCATCAAAGAAGTACAACAGGAACAGTGCCTCATAAATTATATTTACCTGCTGGGTATCACATGCATAATGGACACTAGAATGTTCAACCTAGAGTCCCAGAGGAATTAAAATCCAAATCCTAGTAAAACCAAAGCAGTTATAATTCTAGAAACTCATAAATGGTAAGTTTTATAGGCTTAAGCTATCACTAGTAGCAACAAAATACATTCGCAACTCAGGAAAGAGAAGAACTATAAAAATAACAGGTTAGTTGTGGTTTTGTTTATAGGCTTGGCAGTTATTTACTGAAAAAAAATAATAAAATTGATTGCCTGTACACAGTTTATTAAATTCTGAAGTTCTCAGAAGAGGAATAAGGAGACATTTTTGCTTCCTCTCCAATCCCTGCAGTTCAAACATGCACCTGAAAAGAAAGGACCCAAAGAGCACAGAGCCTTGTCTGAAAGGCTCTTCTAGAAGGGAGAGCTGTGGCTTTGCCAAGGTACATTGCAAAGCTTTGAATCAAACCATGCTGGTTCAACTGCACACTGCAGTCCAATGCCAACCCTGAAGAAGAACCCCCAGGACTACATGTTAATTCACTGTAGGGCTGACTAACACCAACACATTTGGAACTGCAATATCAGGTAGAATATATTAGTAATGAAAGAGCAGTAGAAATCATCTTAGATGCTTACCTGCTGAGGTTTTCTTATGTTCTGCTACCATAACTATATTCTCTCCAAAACTGACCTGAGGCATATTCATCTATTGCTCTCTTATAGCAATACTCTTCAACTTAACCTGCAGATCATTGTAATAATTCCAAAGGTTTAACAATTATTTTGCAAAGCTTACCTGTATAAATAGTCCATATACTCTGCCCCTTTGCTATACTCTTCCCAGTATCTGTGATACATAACCAGTACTTGTTCTTCAGCTTCCAGAACTCTCTGTGAAGGTAGACACAAGCCCCCCCCCCAATAAAATTAGGATTAAAATGACAAACATGCTTAGAGAATTATAATGGATTATCATTTTGGAATAGTAGTTGCATAGTCAATATTGTTGCATTGTTGCAATGACCAAAAAACTAACACATCTTCATACTACCAAGCTCTGGTAAGCCAGCTACAACACCTGAAGTAGATATATTTTGCATTTAAAAATAACAATCTCTCTACTGTACTATTGTCTATTTATCATCACAGAAGTACTTGTTTGAATAAGCATGGTTCATATTCTCACATCACAGTGGTGAGGACTTGCATAACTATTTCTTCACTGACACAAATCAATTTTAAATTCAAGCAGCCACATGCACACAGGAGGAGTGGCCTAACTACAACCATTTAAAAATCAGTGTGCCTTAGTGGATAGACAAGCCCTGATACTTACCAAGAATCACAGAATAAAACAATTTTAACAAATCACAGATACGTACAAATGTAAAACACATTTGAAGTTCTGCAAATCTAGGCCCAAAACTTTTGAAATTTAAGCAAATCATCATCTAAAAAGTTGCTGATGTACAGAACTTCTGAAAATATATTCATACTTCAAAGAATAAGTTCAACAATTTAAACAGTATGATTTGTGAAGGAGGATGAGATCCTAGGAATTTGACTAGAATGCTCTCTAGAGTATGTAATTTTAAAATTTGGCTCAAGCAGCAAAGAAGCCTATGCAAAAGTAATGTAAAAGAGGAAAGCTGGTAGACAAAACAAGAGTTGAGAATGCTTTCCTCTGCAGTATGCACTCTGCAAAATTTTCCAACATTATTTCCAAGACAAGTGGTGGATAGCCAATTACAAAAAAACGGATGTATGCTTTCTGCTGCTTCCCACAGCTTCTACTGTGTTGGCACCTGCCTGATTATACTAAGTGAGCTGATTCAGCTCACTAAATAAACAAGGAAGAACTTTTTTGGTAGAGTTCTCTGCTAGTTTAGTGAACTGATTTAGCCTGCCAAAGTGTCAGAATTATCCTCTCTGCAACCAGTGGAACTACTCATTAAGACACTCGGCCCATCTTGTCAATACTCAAAAAATAACTAAGCTCAAAAAATAGCACTAAGCCATTTAGCAGCACTATCTAGAATTTGCAATGCTTTATCCCCTCTATAGACACCAAAGGCAGGCAGACATCTTATTTACATCTACTTCTCTTTTTACTGATATCCAATGAGACACTGTTCATCCACCTTATATATCTGACATGATGAATCATGATTCTGATGAAATCTGTTGTCTTAGCTGATGAAGCAGAAGTTAACTCACAGCTACATAGGTATACAAATGTTATTTGTCATAATAAATAATATGCCATTACTTCCTCCCCTCCCAAGCACTTGTGTTATTTCCCACACATTTCACAAGTTGGGTTCTCTTTTTAAGCAGAGCAGATACAATCAGTTTCCAAGATACTGGAGTAGATACTTTTCTGTTGAAACAGAAGGCTAATGACAAACTACAGTACATTTGGAAAATGAAGACATTTCTGTAACTTATTTGATTATAAGCATTCAGCAGAAAAGAAAGTAACTTTTCAAGCAAATTAATATATTATATAAACCATAACAATTGGCTTAAAAAGAAAATTCTATTTTGTGTGTGTGTTACATTTAGACAGATATCTTTAATATCTACCTACAGTGTGTTGTGTGATATGTGTTACGTATATATACACACGGAAGTATTGTGCCTCTGGAACTCTGCCATCTGTGATTGAGTCTCATAAAAACTGCACACCATACACACAAACAAAACCCCTTCCTAAAGTAAAATAAGGACAAATTATACCTACGTGGACATGAGTAACTGGAGAGATTACCTTGTGCAAATGGCGTACGTGATTTTCCAAAAAAATCTTAGTCTCAGTATAAAGTCTCTCTCCAAGAGGTTCAGGATAGGCCACACACAAAGCATAAATGTCTCTGAGCTCGAAGTCAAGGTTTGTATGTTGTGTATCAACAAAACATATGACTTACAGAACCCTTTTTCTCAAATATTTGCATTTTAAATCTCTTTTTTTTTGCTGACAGTCACACAAAAAACATAAAATGGATCATTTTATGAAATCTGTGTAAGTATTGATCGTGAAGAATGAAAGTTTACAGCATCAATATTAAATTTTAAATAGTGGATGGTGAGGGAATGTTAGAGCTAAGATCCTGGAATTTCTGGTAGTCCCATACTGACATGGCCACCAGCACTTATTTGCCATCTATGAATACTATACAATTATCTCAAAGTGAAAAAGTAGCTTTCATCCACAATTCTTCCTGTTACTTGCAGCCAGCATGAGCTGAGACTCTCTTCATATCATGGAAAGAAGCACTAATTAGGTTAAGAATGTGATTAGCCAAGTATGGAGCAGAGGAAACATGAGGTAAAGCAGACTCCAAGTTTTCCTCTTCTGAGTCCAAACAATTTACTGTCCCTGCATTTTCCCCCCAACTCCACAGGTAAAACAATTTCAGGGGACACTGAAAATTAACTAATCACAGCTGTGGTGTGGATAAAAAAGTTAATTCTATTTTTCATCATTATAATAATTTCAGTAATCCTGTTTAGATCACAGCCACACAAAACAGTTATTCTTGCTAACTTAAATGGGCAGCAGTAAATACTTAAACCACTTAAGGTGGTTTTGTCCCTGAAGTACCTTACAGAGCTACACCTTTGGTTTGCAATGGTTATATCAAGATTTAAGCTTGTTTCATTTTTTTTCTATAGAATTAATACTCAAAACAAAGAAGATACTGATGTAGGATAACTAAATAGGAAAAAAAGTGCCTTTATTTGGCGACAGGAATCTCAAAGAGCCCAATCAGAATCTCATCTCAAGTACAATTATTTCATCCCTTACCAGAATTCACCTGGGAAAGGCAAGAAGCATTAAATGGAACCAAACAAACAAACATTCACTGCTTTGCAATGGTAGCTAGCACTGACTACACCAAATTACAAAGTTATGGCCAATAAAATATCAAAACAAACTAGTAAATTAACAGTGAGGAATGAAAGGTTTTCTTAAAGAGATTGTAAAGAATAACTGTTTTTAACACTTTCCCCAACAAATTTTCCTAGTCTAAGGATGGTCAGTGGTCAAACCTATCCTCAGTGTAATTCAGACCACAAGTATCCTCACTATGCAAAGGTATTTTTGAGAAAGTGAAGTCCAGAATTAGAAATCTTTGTGAGCTGCTTACAATCAAAGGGGACATGACTTCTTTCTCTTTAGATCCACAAGTACACTGAGTCACCAAAACCACTATGGATCTCCACTACAAGAACAATTTACTTCAAATTTAGAGGAAAGAGGCAGTCTTCACCACAACAACGCAAGAACATCGTAATGGCAGTTTGATGAAAGCAGCAAAAACATCTCTGAATTTGCCCAGCCTCTGTGCCCTAGACTTCTGTTAGGAGTCCAGATGACTTGACTGTTGTAAACAAGTTTCTTAGTTGTAACAATCCTATTCAGGAATGAAAACAGTGCCTATACTCCTTCATGAAAATGCACATCTTCCAAACACACCTTACCTTATTCTAGAGAACAAACTTTATTGCAAACGAAGAAAGGTGAATCATGTATTCTTCCTTACAATATGCCATTCTACTTAATTTCAGCAGGTATACAAACTAAGAGATTAATCACAGATGCACCTGAACTGGCACCTCACACATTTTCCAGCATCAACAGCAACATCAACAAATCAACACCAAATGCTACTTGCTGGATACCAAGTTTCTCTGGATTTCTACAGAAGAAAAGCTACCATGAGACTGAAATACCTATTACCAAGTAGCTTTGCTACATTCTTGCTCAATTTGTTCTAGTTACTCTATCCATTATATCTTTCAGTCCAGAATCCAGACTTAAGTGTCATGTTCAAAATGTTGAGAACCTCTCAACAAAAAATAAAATAATTTGATGGGAGATGAATCATTAATCATCACTTGTATGTTACTACATAAACTTAAAGCACATTTTTTCTGTGCTGCTGCCCCTTAGACGAACAGGAAGAAGCCTTTACTGCTCAATAATTTATCTTTAATGGTGAAAGTCATCTGTCCTTCCAGTTCAGCATGTAGCTTTACCGAGTGAGAAAGGCCAAAGGCAGCTGAAGCCAGACTGCTGCTTAAGGGCCTTCACTCTGTGTTGAGAACAAGAACATCAAAAGCCTTGTGTGATTTAAGTGCTTAGGTAGTTGTCATTTGAGGGGTATTACCCAGCAATTGGAAACTGAAACACTTGGGAACTAAGAAAGAACAACTACAAAATTACTATCAACCAGAAAATACTATATCCAAGGCCATAAAATCTCACAAATATTGCCCTCAGATTTACAGAACCATCTAGTTAAGACTCTACATTAACCAAAAGTTTTTAATAGATCTTCTCTAGGAGACCAACATAGAGCTTTGGGATAAATTCTGTCAGATTTCTGTAACAGAATCCATATTCATAGAGGACTTGAGGACTCATAGTCAGAAAGAATCATGACCACGTGATCTTTGCTTTTCCTTCTAAAGGGCTGGTTCTTTCATTAAGGATACATGGTTAAGTTGCTGGTTCATCATAGGGTCCTTGTAAAACAGGGAATTAGAAGAGGAGGAAGAACAAGCATGCAGAAAAATGGAAAAAAAAACAAAGCAGGAGGCCATACTGTATACTTTGAAAATAATTCTGTTTGCAGTGCAGCTTACACCCTCCCTGGGCACTGTTTATCTTATTTGGTGGTGGAAAACCAATGACAACAACAGGAAGAGCCTCATGTTCTACTAGTTCAGTAAAGTTCTAGGTAAAGTTAGCCATCAAAGTAGAGATGAACTCTCTACCACTCTCTAACCAACCTTGATCAGCCTCTTAACTTAAAGAGTACTCCCATCATGTCTACTGAAGTAAGCAGCAAAGTCTTAAAAGCTATATAACATTCACAATAATCAAATTATTGTAAATAATATCTCAAATAGAGCCCTAACTGTCACTCATTTAGCAGACAATGAAATAAATCCATACACGTTTCTTTCTGCAGAGAACCTTAAAGGAAATCTGAAGGTCAAAGGTGGCTCAAGATGACTCACTCACTTTATTTAAAGCGACCTATGGTCTTTCAAGTGATCTTTTCCAGAAGATTTTAATTCTTACACAGTTGCGGTTCCCAGTTCATTGCCATTAGCATTGCAAGTTTGAGATAATAGGTTTATTTAAAGATAAACCATGTTTAACAAAAAAATTACCATCAGCTACAAAGAATACACTATATTCAAGACAAACAAGTTCTGGGGAACTAATGAGGCAAAAATTAGTTCTAGAAAAGGAATATGCATATTACAAGCCTCTCACCCCTAAAATACTATTAGTCTCCATACTCCACTTGATCTCAGCTGTCTCAAGCAGCACAAGAGAAAGCAAACACTTCTTAGAATACACTGCTGCAGACTGAAATTGTGATTCTTTGCCTTTGTTTCCACATCACTATTTCAACTATACAGTGCAAAGATCAACTGGTACTATAATCAATGAAATAACCTGCATGGGTTTTATTAAAAAGCTGTTCAAATAATTTGGCACACTTTTATTGCTCTTATTAAGCAGCAAGAAAAAATGACATTTCCTTTAAAATCCCTGTAGAGATGTTTAGAAACAGATTTCTCCAAATAAATTGAATTTAACAGGGAATAAAAAGTTAACAAAGAACGAGATGACATTTTTAAAATGCCAAATCTTCTCAAAAGATATCATTAATACTTTAGTTTTCCTTGTACTTAGGAAAAGGTTTCACACTAGCTGTGTAGAACTATCAGTTTCACCAAGTTGTTGAATACTCAGTGAGCAGTTTGTGTGAAAACACAGGGTTTGGTTACAGGAAGCAGAAGTACTAAAGAGTCAACATTCATGCTGGAAGTTACAAGTCACACAAACTCCTCAGGCCATTCAGCCATAGACAATAATCAAAAGGCTCATGCCTGTGCCAAATCAGGTGCTAATAGTGCCACTTTCCAAGGAACATAATTAAGAGATGATAGTAAGGTCTTAAGAATTACATGCCAAAAGATTTTTCCAAGACTACTTCCTGAGTCTGCCATTCATTTTCTGATGTTCAATCAACTGGAGTAAATCCCAAAAGAGGATCAACAGCAGACTTGTGTACAAAGTCTAAGCATAAGAAGTTCTAAGTGAAACAGTGTGACAAGAGGGATCAATCCAACATCTCATGAAACAATTATTATTTTCTATTTTAATCTATTTTAGGTGCCCTTGTTTAAATGTTTAGAGTTCTAAGCTGCAGAATTTAACCACTTGTTGAAAACTGAAATAGGCAATCTGCAAAAACTGCTTAGAAAGAATGGCTGCAGCATAACTTGACAGCCCTTAAGAGCACAACTGATTAATTCAAAAGTCGGAAAATTCTGGAGTCACTTGAACCTGACTCCAAGACCAAGTGACGAGCCATGCCCCCAGAAATTAATCACAAAGTTTTAAAATGAAAGAGCTCCTCAAAGATTATTGCACCACAATAAGGCTCCACATGAACTATGAGCAACTAAATATTTCTGTTCTGTACGTATATGCAAGCACACACTCCAAACATAAGCACACAGGAAGGCAATTCTGCGAAATGCTAACATGCTCAGAAAGAGAAGAGGGTTTGAAGACAAGCTCCTGCACACAGAATCAGCTTATGTTGTAAAAATTCACATAAAAGAACTTTATCAGAAGCTTCTACTTTCACCCTGAGGAATTAACAAATCAATAAAGAAGTCTAAACCATTCTTCCCCCTTATAATTAAACCAAACTCTGTCCAATTGATGTCAAACAGCTGCAAAGCCTCCTAAAATTCTCAAATTATTCACTACACTGTCATGGCCAATGAATACATAGACACAGGGCACAGTATATCTGGTTAGAACAGTTACACTTCTTTTGAAACAAGTTTACTGACTGAAACTTAAACCTTATAAAGAATTACAAGTCCATTTTACATGTAAAATGCAAACCTTTCACTACAACAATAGATGAACAGCTGTGACTTGAACAGCAAGACTATATGATCACATCTAGAAAGAGTAATTATTTTTAAATATAGTTTAGCTGTCAGGAATAGAGATGCAACAACAGTGGAAAGGAAGAAGGTTATTAAATAAACTCTTGCTATAGAAATGTCTAATATGGTAGTCATCAGTACAGTTAGAAGTGCAAAGAACAGAGAGAAATATTTACACAGAACAACCTCATGGTCCCCCACAGCCCAAATTTAAATATATGCATTCTCTGCCTTAGGTGTTTCTCCTGCTACAGACACACCTAAAACAAAAGAAACCCCCTCACTATCAGAATAGAGGACATTCAATGCATGTACTTTTGTGAACAGCTATTGCATAAACTAAGATTTAGAGTTATTAAAAATCAGCAGAAGTGAGGCTGGTTTACTTTCTATCAAACATTGTGATTTTCACATAAAATACTTTCCAAATATGCAGAATTTCCCATCCCTTTCAATACATGCATGGGGCACAGGCTTAATAACAGGTACAACCTTACAAGGAGCTTCTGATCAAGACCACTGAAATCATTCTGTAACACAGGCTCACTCCATGCTGAACACCTCATACAAACACACTAAGCCAGATTTCTCCAGTAAAGGATACGAGAAGCGATCGTTCCACGTTGCTCTCTCAACATAATCCAACGTAATAACAGCTTTAATCGTGGTTAGAAGTTTGTTCCATGTTTCATCAAAGTCAACTACTCGTGGTTTCAAGGACATTGTGGGGCTTTAGTGTTAATCTGTAGAAGAATTAAACATGTCAGTCAACATTGCACAGGTGTTTAAAAAAATATACATTTCCTTGCAATTTTTCAATTTAAACTCTGCACACTGCTGCACCACCAGCATATAACAACACAAAGAGCACCCACCCTTGCTTCCCCACCTCACAAGCCCTTATTTTTCACGTTAATGTTGCATGAGTAGCCCACAACATAACACCCATTAACCTAACAACATCACGGCTCATGAATTTCATTATCTGTCCATTTATCAGTGCCCTATGAAGAAAACAACTTTCCTGTACATTTTTGTTTACTTTTATGCAAAGACTCTTTCAGCTGTATCGGAGTAAATTTTGGGCAGGGGCAGAATGAACTATTACCAGAGTATCTGAAATTATTGCTGTCAGTTTGTAGTCTATGTTCACCTCAAGCTTTACATCAGACATTTTTTGTGTTATATTTTAAAAGCCACAAAACCTGAAAGCTTTGATCAGGATGGCAAAAAGAAAACATATGTAAACACAGAGCAATATGCAGAGCTTGTGTAGATTACTGGACGATGCAATAGGACAAATAATGAAATATTTCAAATAAGACATGGCTTGAAAATACAGAAGACGTGTCAGTAATTTCACATCAAATATCCTGGAAGAGATTTTAAAAAATAAAACCCTTGACATGAAATTACTGAAATAAGGTGATTTGAAAAAAAGAGAGCTACAACTGTGAAGGCCTCTTCTTTGTTTCCAACAGTTTCTGTCCTGTGCACCTAATCTAGAAAGGACCTGATGTGTGACATTCCATGCACAAAGCAAGTCTAGTTCCTGCTCAGAAACACAACATTGTAAGACTACTACAAAAAGTGGAAAGAATACTTCTATTTCCATTTTAATCAGATGGACAAATGACTCTTGACTTGTCTTCACAAATTTTCAAGGTCAGAAGGGAAACAAGAAAGCTAGTGACAAACAGACCTTGAGCACAAGAGCTGCAAGGGAAAGAATCAAATGACATGCTAAGAGACTATTTAGCAACCAGCTTACTGCCTTAACCACTACGGGCTCTGGCAGAATAGATAAGTACTCAGTTTAAGAAAAAAAAAAAACACAATAAAAACAGATACAACTTATACCCTGCATGCATGCAAAATGCCCCCCAGGTACCTAACCAAGCTCTTCAACTGCTGTGAATTCAGGAAACAGTTTCCCTTTAAAATACAATCAATGTATTGCCTAACCCACACTTGCTTTGATTTCATAAAGAAACTTAGTAGCAACTAAAACGGAGGAAGTGGTATTATGAACAGGAAACTTCTTTTAAAAAAGCACTAAAGCTCAGCAAGTGATGCATATATATTTTCAGCTCAGTAGAAACATTTAAGTCCTTATATTTGCAACATAGCTATTACTTCAATCCATGTATGTCAGTAGCAGCTTATAACACAGAAAATCAGTGAGAACTGACAAAACAAAGAGATATCCATCGAAGAAAGTTGAAAAACACGCTGATGTATGTCTCAAAGAAGCATGAACCTCAGTAGAAGCAAACAACAGTAGAGCTCACTTCCATGAGAGCGAAACAAAATGTGAAAGTCTTTGAAAAGCCCTGATACCATTCTTCTGGAAAACACAAGAGTATTTGCAGCTGACTCCAACAAAAATTTGTCATGGTCCACAAAGAATCACAAGAAGTGCTTGTGGTAATGAAGTTGTACTTAGCTGACATCATAGGTTACTGTCTTGGAAACACACATGGTACCTCCAAGGTAAAAGAGCCATTTCTTCACTGATAAGCAAAACTGAGGGGAGGAAAGAAGGGTGAAGAAAAAGTCCTTCCCACATCACATCACACAGAATCAGTAACACCATGCTGAGCACCACCAAAACCTAGTAATAGGTAAAGCATCCACATGGTCATCACAGTATTCCAAAGTTAAACAGGTTGCGAAAGAACTGACCGTTCTTTGGCATTCTCTGACAGCTTTCATGCCAATATGGATTTAAACGTACTCTACAGACATGCTAACAAATTGCAGTATAACTTTTTCTGTAAGACACTGGGGTTTTGGGGCTCCAGGGCCTGTAGTGCACAAACTCTCCAGCTCTAAGCACTAAATGTCTTGTACTGATGCAAGTAACCTCCAAAGCAAAAACTATAGCAGGGCAGAATGTCTACCCTAGGGTTCATACTATTCAGGGGGTGGGAAACCATACCTGTCTGACAAGCCCCAGGGTAAGCAGATATTGCCAAAACATATTTACACATGAGGATAATCAAAGGATGCTGCTTCCATTGCCTCGTTCTTTAAAACACACCGCTGTCACGCTGAATACATTTGTACACACAAACAAACGTAGGCCGTTGGCCAGTGCCAAAGCATTCCCCGAATTTCCAACCTCTTTAACCATCTCGCTAAACAGCACTACAAGCCAGCGGTGGGTGCACTCGCGACAAACAGGTGAGCAGCACTGCCTGGCACCCCCCCTGCCCTGACGCCCCCGACTCCAGCGGGGGTCCCCGGGCCCCGGCAGGGACGTGCACTCCGCACCTTCCCTCCCCACGAAAACAAAAGCGAAACCGGCCGCGAACGCAGCCGGGAGG